GAGGAGGCAGCGGGGATAAGCGTGAATTTTCCTCTCTGGTTAATCCCGTTGTGAGTAAGCTGGGGAGGTGAGAAGGGCGGACAGCGAGGCTCCAGAGGTGCTGGGTAAGTCAGGGAAGGCTTTGCTGATGACTGCCTTTCACGCTTGGGCATCCTGGCTCTCAGATGCTTGTAGGGCCACGCGCGACTAGCCGAGTAGATCTGGTGCCTCGGGGTCAGGAAAGCGCCTGCAGCCCATCAGCTGCAGCCAAGAAGGGTCTTCCTTCTGCTGGAAATCGGCAATGTGTGAATTTTCCATCACTGCTTCTCTAGTGTCTTGTAAAACATCTGACTGCAAGGCATCCCATCCCCAAGGCTGGGACAAATCTGGGGCGGTCAGATAACTCAGGAAGCGCTTTATCTCCCCAGGACGCTCCACAGCTGTGCAGAAGTAACAGAATGTGCTTCTGCTGACGTTTTGCTGATCATTGTGGGAACCGGTGGCACAGCAGCCTAAGAGATGGAGAAGTGTCTTTTAGTGATAGCCAGGAGAGTTGTCTGGCATGAAACCAAGCAGTGGGTAGGATGCTGAAACCCCAAGGGGCCTGAGAAAATAAGTCATACACGCTTGTCTCACTTCTTCCTGAGGAGCAGAAGCTCTTGGTGAAAGCAGTAGCACGCAGAGATCTTGGGGAGGGGGCCAAGATGGTCAAGATGCCCGCTGCCTTAGCGTGACCATCGTGCCTGTCCGTATTTGTTCTGCAGAACAGTTGCAGAGGAATGAGAAGGTGCAGTGTTCAAACCATGATGCAACACATATCCTCGTTCTCTCCGCCGATGGGAAGCTTTCTGAACAGTGGACTACAGCTTCAGGTGGCTGCTCTAAGACAAGGTAAGAAGCTTTCATGGGTGGAGGTATGGATGGTAACGGTCAGGGAAGGTGGATCACTTTTACTAAAGGTAACATCCAAGAGATGTTACTCAGCAAGAATTGCACTGATTTTGAGGGTAACAGCAAGATCTGAGCTGCTCGAGATGCACAAGACAGCTTTCTCTCAAACTTAGTAAGCGTTTGTAGCATATACCAGAGTAATGCAGATGACTTGCAAACCACACGTGGCTTGGGAAAGCTGCAGGTGAAAGACACAAACACATCTGAACTTTGCCACCTTCTGATTAAGCTGTGAGGGTAACCATCATCTAAAAATGGCACAGCACTTTGCTGTGGGATTTTCTGTTAACTTGCCCAGGGCTGAGCCTGATTCTCTTTTAGTTTCCCATGGTGCAAACCACAATCAAATCAATTAGCACAGCTGTGGTAGGCTAGCATAAAAGCAGGATAAATCAACTTACAGGTGACCTGTATTTTTCCACATAATTCCCGCTAAGCATGCTAGGACTTGGTGAGCAGGGGATCTTCTTTACTTTGTCTCATGGCACAGCACCCATCTATTTTGACTTGGTATTTTTTTTCCTTGTTTTTTTAGGCTGGTGAATGAACTAGGAGACAAAGAAATTGTTCAAATAGCATGTGGGGACCAGCACGCCATGGCACTGTCCAGAGGTAGCCTCTTCCAAGCACACTTCTCCTCCAAATGGGAGTCATGTTATGGCAGACTTCTTCTCGGAAGGGTGTGTTTGAACACCTTCCAGTAGTTGGTGACATCATTAGAGAGTAATGAACAATGGGTGGGGGACACAAAGTGCGCTGGCTATCAGCGCTGCCCTTTCCTCCCAGTGCCCAGGGACCTGCAGCTCTGTCTCTCTCCAGTTCCTGAGCACTACCCCTCCACAAAGGTGTGTTGTGGAGAGCGGACGTGGCTGCCCCACTCTGCAGTCACCAGACCTGATCATTCTTGAGTTGGAGCACCTCTCTGGTTAGGAACTTCTTGCAAGTATGGCTTTAGAGGTGGAAACACCCTGCCTTTATTCTTGCTGTGCTGAGTCACACGGGCAGCATGGGACTGCCCCAAAGGGGTCAGAAGCAAACAGGGAGATCTGGTTGCTGCTGATGGTCTCACCTTGCAGCTAGATCCCTGATTTTCGCTCCCACTCCCAAAGTGCAAAGGCTCAAGGGAAGCAGTGAGACTGAGCTCTTTTCTTTTGTTCTGTGTGTGAAGGAGGCAAGCTCTTCACCTGGGGCCAGAACGCCCATGGACAGCTTGGAGTGGGCAGGAGGCAAACCATGCTCATCCCCCAACCACAGCTGGTGGAAAGACTAAAGGGCATCTCACTCGCTCATATTGCTGCTGGAGGAGCTCACAGTGCTGTGGTGTCACTCTCTGGAGCTGTGTACTCTTGGGGAAAGAACGATTTTGGACAGCTGGGACTCGGACACACAGAAGGTAAGGAAGGACAGCAGTAGGAAGGTGTTTTCCTGGTCAGTGAGCTTACTGCAGACACAAGAGTGGCTCCTCAGGACAGTCAAGCCTCTTTGGAGCAGCAGTGGACAGTAAAGTCTTTTGAAGAAAGTATATCTGGATAAATTCTTTGTTTCCTGACCAGGAAAGGCATGCAGGGACAAGGGGTTTAGGGGTTGTATTTCTACAGAGAACTTCCAATCATTTTATGTGGCCAGCTGGATAGTGTGGGCTCTTAAAACCCTATGTCTCAGAGGTCTCCCTTCCACTCCCATTCTCTCTCCAGGCAGGAGAAGGAAATTCATTTTATACATCTTTGCCTTCTTTAATTCTCTGTACACACAAGGTTAGAGAAGAATTAAAATCATCCATTGTCGTCAAACCTAGAAGGCTAGAGCAGAGTTGCCCTAGCCAGACAGAACCTCAAGTTAGCGGGATATGAATGAGTCCATGCCCTTGAGAGTCAGATATTTTGAAGCCAAATACCTTTTGGCAAGCAGATGTGAAAGCGCTGTGTTTTGTTTCAGATCAAATGTAAATGAAAATAAAATATTATGAAAAAGACAGAACATTATGAGAA